TTAGGAGATATTTAAAATTGACCAACATGACGATGACACGTGTCCCTCCATTTAAATGAGGGGTATATTTGAATCCAAAGTATTACTGTAGGGGTATAAATAACCCAATAGTATAACGAGGGGTATTGTTAGATCATTTTTGAAAATAGAAAGGTATATTTGGGCCTTTGCCTGTTATTTTCTGGAAACATACATGACTACAATTATGGTGGGGCCTGGGGGGAGGGGTTCGGTTGTGTCAGATACAAGTGTTTATTCCATTGGGTATTACATGGATGGGCAGGACTGCTTTGTGACTCTTGGATTTTGGGCACCAACTCCTCAACATTGAAGGAAGGGAAGATCTCTCGACAGAAATCTTTCAGATTCTAATGGGACTAATAGCCCAAGCTTCTCCAATTAAAAAAAAAGAAAAGTGTCTCTTCAGAAACAGTTTTGGAATACAAAAAAAAAAATAGTTTTTCCCCAAAATTTTTTTCTTGAAAAATATTTTTGAGAAAAATATATTTAAAAATAATTTTTAAAAGTTTGGTCAAACACTAATTATTGCTTAAAAATATTTTTTAAATAAATTAATCAAACACAAACTATACTTTTAAGAAAGATATTTTTGAGGAAAAAAACACTTCTCAAACTAAGTTGATTTTTGCAATTTGGCCAAACAGGTCATGACCCTTTTCTTTAAATTTTTGGCTTTCACCTCGGAAAAGCATTAAAGAGAAAAGCTTAGGTACGGTTCAGAACTATCCGTTAACACTCTGTTAAAACAAATAAATAGAAAATAGGTTAGCTATATATGTAGAGATTAAAGGCTCTTTTAACTCATCATGTTACTTCTCCGAACTAATCTATATTTAAGACTAGTATTAAAAACAAAAGCCAGGTAAAAGCCTGTTCTCAATGCATGTTTATATATACCAACAGGCGACAAAGATGGTGAGATCAGGTACAACAGATATGTTAGTTTTACATTGAGCAATTATAGTATCCTTTAATTTAATTACTTGTTAAAAGCAGCCTATATTGAAGTATCTCTAGTGAATTATTTTGATTTATCCTCTACGTCAGTTGTACATTATAAATTGAACAATTTTGGTATCCTTTACTAGTAAAAAGCAGCCTATCTAGAAGTATCTCTATTGGAATATTTTGATGTCTTCTTTTTAGACGTCTTTCGAGATACAGCAAACAAAAGCTTAAATTTCACTTTATAGGATGTAATGATCCCCTTGAACTAAATTTAGCTTCATCTAATTAAGCCATTCATATAAGTATTACCAAAAGGCCCATGTCTATTAATCTATCAACCAGAGACTCAAAATTGAAACTACTCTATTCGTTGTTCACTTGTATCATGATTTTTTCTCCTCTTCTTTTGTTTTTTGCTTTGTGTAATATTTGTCTATTTATTTTAATTTTTTTGTCTGTTTTATGAAAAGGCACATGTACTGTCTCGAAAGAAGGAAGTCTTAATCTATTTTCATGGGTTATTATCGATAAATCTAAATATCTACAGCAGTTAAATCCATTGAATAAGTGTCTAAGCTTATGTTTATTCTAAAGACGGGTTACTACTGATGTACAATTAATATTAGAGGATCACTCAAATTGACAGTCTTAAGCGGATATAGGAAGAAGATAGTTCCTTTACAGAAAAATGGGGTTGAGAAGGAAGAAGTATGTGTGTGTTCATCCTCTCTGGCTCCGAATTCATAGAGATATTCACTATTAAATTCACATAAAGTTTAATATCTATACGGTATACACTAACAATATAAAATAACTTTTACACTGGTACGCTCTTAATGTCGATAAGTTAAATTCATTGAGATAAACTTGAATAATTTGTTAACACTGCTCCCTTTTGACTATAGATTTTGGTTTCAGTTGTTCAAAAAAGTTTTTTTTAAAAACATTATTTGTTTATGAAATATGTGGGAAAACAATTAAAAAATTTTAAGTTTTCAAAAACTGATTTAGGACAGTTTTTAAGTGAAATTTTTTCTTTCACTTATAAAATTTTAACTTTTTTTCAAATAAAATATATATCTACACATAACTTCAACTTTTAATTTTTTTTATTTTTTTTATTTTTAAATTTCAATTAATTCTATGTTCAAATGCTAGGTAAAACAATAGTAGGTAGTTTAGGGATCAAGACAGCAATAATAAAGAGATAAAGATGGATTCTCGGGTAGAGTTGCCACTGACAGGACTATGAACCAGGATAAGGCCTGAAAATTCATCTTTAGCTCGGCCCAATTTGCTAATTGTACTCTCTAGGGGTAGCTACTAATAATGTAGGTAAGACTAGACTTCTTTCAGCTAGCTTGCTAACACTTTATTAGCCCACATAAAATATGCAAATCTGTTGTACGTTGAAAATTCAAAGCTCAATTGAATTTTTAGACGCAGACTTCGCAATTTAATATTTTTTTTTGAAATTGTGTCTTTTAAATATAAATATGAGAAATTTTTAGAAATCACTGTTGATTAGTAACTATTAACTTTCTATAGTTACTATTAAGTTATTACAGTAGTGTATTCGCGCTGCTGTATTCATGAATACAGACAGCAAAAAGTGCCTAAAAATCAGGGCAATCCAGCAATACGCGCATGTATTCGCGCCATGTATTCATGAATACAACAACAAAAAGCGCCTAAAATCAGTGCAGTCCAGCTGTACGCGCATGTATTCACATGTATTCGCGATACTGTATTCATGAATACAACAATAAAAGGGCCTAAACTCAGGGCAGTCCAGCTGTACGCGCATTTATTCACATGTATTCGCACCATGTATTCATGAATACAGTAACGACAATCACCTTAAAAATAGGTATGTCCAGCTATCTAATAACAGAAATAATATCAATTAGCGTGATACACTCCTAATATAACTCAATAAAATTAATTCTAACATGCCTCATTATCAACCTAATTAATTAGAATAATTTTTCAGTTGTATATAACTTTTGTATTTAGTGTGTTTTAATTTATTTATTTTACTGTTGCATTCATTAGATTCAATATTTGTATTTACTATATTCTCTATTTTATATACAATGTATTCAAATGTATTTGTATTAACAGTATTTTAGTTATTCCTAATACATGTTATTATCGATGTATTCAGTATATTTCATTGGTTGTATTCACTGTATTTCTATTTGTATTCACTGTATTTTAAAATTAAATGTATTCACTGTTTATATTTTGTTCTATTTTAATGTTTGTATTTAGTGTATTTCAATATTTATATATTGTATTCATGCATGAATACAGATGTATTCAGCTGTATTGAAAAAATACAAACCTTAGAAATACATAAATACAAGAAAAAAATATATTTATGCAAAAATATAATGTATTTGAGTGAATTTGTACATAATACAATGTATTTATATCATTGTATGTGACTAAATAGCAAAGAAGAGAAGAAAGTTCGCCGGAGATGGCGTTTTTCGGCCAAGTAAAATATTGTATACATTATATTAAAACTAAAAATGTAGACGAACAAAAACCCCTCGAATTTTCTCCGGTGTAAAAAATATTACAGTATCCGTGTAGAGGAATCCATTGTAATATCCGGTATAGAATAAAGCCGCAGTGGTCCTCTTGTTTCAAAGTTGTTGAGTTAGTCATTGAAGAGGAAATCTGAAGTTTTCTACCGAAAACCTAACAATGGTGAAGATTTTAAAAAAAAGTGAAGAGAAAAAGAAGAAGCTTGAACAGACCAAAACCCCAAAAACTTTAACACTTACCACGAATTTTTGGAGCAAAAACGTTGAAAGTGAGAGAGAATCGTGCTTTAAAAATCGCGAATACAATCTTGTTGTGACTGCGAGAGAGAGATCGTGGAGAGAGAAAGAAGAAATATTTTGCTGTGATTTTGGGAGAAAATAACTGAAAGAATGAAAGAGAAAAATGGTACATAGCGTATTTAATGCCTTAATGGTATAGTATACTATAAATACCTATTTTGCTGTAAAAAATAAAAGATAGGTATAGAAAATAATATTTTAAAAGCATTTTGATTTATAATAAATAGGGTGTAAACTTTTCCTATAAGTGATAAAATTTCCTTCCGGAAAAACTCTTCTCCGAAAAGAATGGTAAATACTTACAATTGTAGTCACTGCTTGCTTGGTGCAAATGTTACTTTCTTAACCACCCTAGTTTACGCGAGCAGGAAATGAGGAGAGAACAATTAATTTAGCCAAAGAGCAACGTTACTATTCAGATGTGCATAACATCTTAGTAATAAATTTATGTACTCTGCAATCTCCCCTTACGTAATTAAGGAGTAATAATTCATATTTTATCAAGTGTATGATAAATTTTTCTCATATTTTAGATTTTCCATCCTTTTCCTATTTGTTTGTTACCTTTTGCTAATTGACATAGTCAACTTGATCAATTATTTAGACACTTATCAGAAATTGCATGATCAGGAGGTTTTATGTTGTAAATTATTCTGTAGTATATATCAAAGACAAGAGAATGCCTCTAAGACTTTCCGTCAAAAATCATTTTGATGAGTTGTGACAATCATATAGGATACATATATAGAGGTAGGATGTCAGATGCCCTAATCTCTCTTGGTTATATACGGTCCATATATAGTTGCCCTAGCTGGTTCAAGAAGAGCTCAAATATTGATAATGTACAAATAAAGCTAAGGAAAGTATAATTAGTAATTAACAAATGAAACGATCATAGACAAATCATAGGATCTGGAGCCGTATATCCATGTTATTGCAGGGTCATTCAGATACAAGTTAACGTCACACTGAAAAACTTTTGGAGCTTACGTAAATAATCACGTTGCCATAATATCCCGATGTGGATACATGTGTTGTTCACTTTTTTCTGTATCAATTTATTCACTCCTTTATAGCTTGTAATCCACACACCTCTGGTAGCTTTCATTTTCTTTGCTGCCATCTATTCTTATATATATCCTCTTCACAATTCTCTTTTCCAACATCTAAATAATTAAGAAGGGAAAAATAGGAAGACACATGGCGAGAGACTATGTGGATCCGCCAGCAGCTCCGCTGTTTGATACGGCGGAGCTGAAGAAATGGTCTTTTTACAGAGCCCTCATTGCTGAATTTGTTGCCACCTTTCTTTTCCTCTACGTTAGCGTCGCTACCGTTATTGGCCACAAGAAGCAAGTTGGTCCCTGCGACGGCGTTGGACTTCTTGGTATTTCATGGGCTTTTGGTGGCATGATTTTTGTTCTTGTCTACTGTACTGCTGGCATCTCTGGTACTCAGTTCTTCTTGATATTTTTCCGTTAAGCGTATGCACTATTCTACGTATACCCAAGTAGTGTCCGCCTTATTACAATTCAACTTATTATATGTGTGAAGTTATAATTAACTTCTGGAGTTATAGAGGTTTAAATTGATAGTACTAATTTATATTACTTTCAAATTGTGTCGATCTATCATAAATATAGATATTATATCTTTCAAAAAATATAATTAACATATATTATTTTGAATCTTTTTCCACAAAGTGGTGTTGAATGAACCTCCAGTAGGAGGATGCATCTGCCTTTGAAAGTTGAAACAACATTATTGTTCAAACTTTTAACCACGGAATTGTAAGTTTAGAGGCTTGAACTTTAAAGAAGGTGTCTTGTGCCTTGTGGTAAGTTCAAGTTCAATATTTTCATACTTTTTGTCAAAATTTCCATTGCTTTGCATGTTGCAGAATAATAGAGATAAGGATGAGAAGTTTTTTTTTGGTTTTCAGGCAAAGTTAGCAAGTCACAGATTAAAAACGCTAACTTATAATTTTGGAGAGGAAAAAGATACGTAAGAAGGAAAAGAAAAGACAATCTTCTTATTTGTCTTTCCCGCACCCTCCTCTCTCTCAGTCCATCAAATAATTTTGTCTTGAATTTAATACAAGGCACTTACTAAAGTACACAGATAATATGAAAATACTCATGCCCCAACTAAAGTTGAATAGGATACTAACAAAAGAATTGTTTCAATTAAATGACAAGTACGCTTTAACCATAAAGTAATTAAACATGATAAAAACAAATTATGACGGCAATCATGAAATTTCTTTTTCGGGGTTAACGAATGTGTATAGGTGGGCATATAAACCCAGCAGTAACATTTGGGCTATTACTGGCAAGGAAGGTTTCATTACTGAGAGCGGTGGCGTATATGGTGGCGCAATGCTTAGGAGCCATTTGCGGCGTTGGCTTAGTGAAAGGGTTTATGAAGCATGACTATAACACGCATGGCGGCGGTGCTAATACCGTTGCAGTTGGCTACTCAACTGGCGCAGCATTGGGTGCTGAGATCATTGGCACTTTTGTTCTTGTCTATACCGTCTTCTCCGCCACCGACCCCAAACGCAATTCACGTGATTCCCACGTCCCCGTAAGTCCTCTTCGTCCTTAATTTTACAAAATAATATTCACTATCTTTTATTTGAGAAAGTTGTTTGATTGCTTTGCACATTTCATATATACAATTTTATCTAATACTACTAAGTCTTTAGTTAACCTAGAGAAAGCGTCTTAATTACGGGATTCATATGGATAATTAGTTCAATAACATAGAGATTTGGAGTGCATATCGGAGGTACGAATAAGGTTACACCCTTTGAACTTCAATGATAAAAGCTCTTTACCGATGAATCCTTCTGATCTCCAGGGATTGTACCGATCACTTTATTGACCACACTATAGGCCACACCGCTAGGTGCCTTAGCCTCCTGGTTACTAAGGTCTCAAATTTTAATCTGTTAGTGTGCACTTGAGGGTGCCGATGCTCGTAAACTAGTGCTATAGAAATCAGTAAATACATCATACTTTTTGACAACAAAAAAAAGAATATTTAAAGTCTCTGTCAAAGATAAACTCCACCTAAACAAGAGATTATAGTCTCTGTGGACTGCAGCGAGTAACAAATGCATGTCTAAATCATAAATTAAAGATGAAGATTTTAGTGTTATACTATGATTTTGCTATTCGTTACCTTCTTTCTCCACAGGTATTAGCACCATTGCCAATTGGATTCGCGGTGTTTATGGTTCATTTGGCCACTATTCCCATCACAGGAACTGGGATCAATCCTGCTAGGAGTTTTGGAGCTGCTGTCATTTACAACCATACCACAGCTTGGAATGACCATGTAAGTATTTATATAGTTCTAATTCGAACTGTCTTTTAAAGTTAATTAGTCTCATAATATTTCCCTTATCTGTTTTCATAGTGGATCTTCTGGGTTGGACCCTTTCTGGGAGCATTGGCTGCTGCTCTCTATTACCAGCAACTTCTGCGAGCTCAAGCTGCCAAAACTTTGAGCTCCTTTCACAGCAACTCCAGCATTTGAACAGCTAGTCTCTCATCATTAATAATGCTGTATCTACCCAGCATTAGGGTAGCACTTAATTAACAAGTGTTAATCATCTTAATTAAGTAGTGATAATCATCTTTGCTGGGCCTCGATTTACTTCTGCTTTCTGATCTCAATTTCTGTGGCTTATAAAATTTCAAGCATTATTTGGTTGTATTAGTGCTAAAGAGCGAAGTTCTTGTTGTGATCAGCAATCAAGCACCAACATTAGAAATCCAATTTTATCTGTTTAGATAGCAAATAATACATTCAGAAATAACAGAGCATGGTAATTTACAATTTAAAGGTACAGCTCTTTTCGATTAATTGACAGTAGACAAGATAATAATGCTGTTAATACAGAAACGAATTTTTCTCGTTAGTTAGCTAATTTTTCATTATTAATATGAGATCAGTATCAACAAACAAGCCAAGATACGAATTCGAAGGTAACAGATCAGTTAGTATCAACGTGACATCCAATTATATCAATAAATAAAAAAACCAATTCCATCAAATTAAACAGCGGAAACAAAAATTCACTAATTTTAAGCTGAGCAAGACATTCACACTTAGGCCATCTCCAACCCTCCCCTATTTTCTGAATATGCTCCCTCATTTTTGCCCCCAAAATGGGGATGAATAGTGTTACCTCAAATATGGATTGATACTATTCATCTCCTCCGTTACTATTCATTCTTATTTTATTATTATTTTTATTATTTAACTCTTTTTATTTATCTCTTTATATATACCTAATTATGCTTATGTAATATCTTTATAATATTAATTTTACATCTTAACTTTGGTGTATAATTTTGATAAATTAATTTTCATAAATTTATTATTTTTATGTAAAATTGTAAGTTAATCGTGACCCACGTTCGCCACAGAAGAAATATTTCGCAATGAAACAAGAATCATGTCGAAAAGATGTTGAACGTGCATTCGGAGTTTTGCAAGCTTGAATCGCAATTGTTGCAGGACCATCACGCTTTTGGAGAAAATAAGTGTTACATGATATAATAACTGCATGTATTATACTAAACAACATGATAATAGAGGATGAACGTGATCTTAATGCACCAATTAAAGATGATTGGGAACGTCCACCTCCAACGGTAGAAATGGTAGTAGATGAAAATCACCGATTTGAGCAATTTTTAGCTCGACACAAAAAAATTAAGGACAAAGATGCTCATTTTGCATTTCGTAATTCATTAATAGATCATTTATGGGAGCATACTAGAGATGGAAGTTGAATATTTATGTAATATTTAATATGAATTTTACCATAATGTAATATGTATTTAATTATCTTGTATCTCAATGATTTCAATTTTATTTGAATTATCCGTTAATATATATAATCTATAATATTTGCTTACAAATTATATTATTTAAAAATTTATGGTATAAAATAATTTTATATTAAATTATATGTGATGAATATGTAAAAAAGAAAAAAAAATAGAATTTATTTAATAGAAATAAAAAAATAAAATTTAAATAAAAATAATAATATAATATTGAAGAGAGAAGAATATAAAATGAAATATTCTTCTTTGGAGTAAAAAATTGAGTAATGGTCGGAGTAAATTTACTCCATTTTGGAGGAGAAAATGGAGGCAAGGGTTGGAGATGGCCTTAGGGGCCACTTGATTGGGAAACAATTCATTCCACGATTAATTATTCCATGATTAGTTATCCCATCCTTCCATAGGGATAAAGAAACACTACTATCCTGGGATTAGTTATACCACGATTTTATCACAACTAAACGTGAAATAAACTCATCCCATCTACTAATCATGTACTGCTGACGCAATGAACCAACTTCTTTTTTCTGGTATATTAGCAGTCATCACAAATGTAAAACTTGCATTTATGGTCAATGAAAGCAGAGAACGTAAACTTTTGGATTACTAATTTTATGCTGAGCAAGACTTTCACACTTGGGCCGTTTGATTGGGAAACAAGTTATCCCGTTAGTTTGAGTGTCCGTATTGATTACTAAAAAACTTGGTTCTTTACTGTATTCCTTAAGCGTAAAGTAAATAAGCAATAAAATGAACACAACGATTTTACGTGAAAAATCACCTGGCTCAAAATATCCAAAAACCACGACCTACCACGTAGGATTTTCAACTCCAACTCCACTTGAACAATGAGCCAAAATGTATCAATTACAAGACTGTAATTAAATACTCTCCAGTACTCCTATTACTCCTATTTGATTTATAAGTTACTCTAACTTGTAAGGCAAAACAATCACTCCAACTCACTAATTGTTTATGACACTTGATTACAACTCAATTTCCTAAAACACATTCACTATACTGACTCAGGAAGAATACAATGCAAGTACTCGACTCGAGTAAACGACTTATAACTCTTTGTTGATGTATAAAAGGATAGTTTAGAAGTCCAAAGTCAATCATATTTAAACGCTTCAACTTGAGTTCTTCAAGGAGTCCTATTCATAGTCAGCTTCCTTTTCGATAGGATTCATACTGTTCCAAGAATTCCACAAGATTTGAGACTTTTGTCTTTGACTGAATTATCCATATCTTCTTGAGCAGCGACCCTTATAACTTATAGCAGGCTTCTTCCACCAAACTCGAACCTGAGTAACTTTGAGATAACATTACTGTCTTGTACAGACGTATAAGTATCAACATGAGGAGCTAATCCTTTCTCCCGAGGAGCCGGTTCTTCAGAACAATTACGCAACTACGTTGAGGACCTGGGTCTTTAAACATTTAGTCATGACCTGTTAATCATTAAAATTTCAATACTCAATAAATTCTCCCTTTTGGTGATGACAAACTTTGTACACAGCAGAACCAGGTAATCACATCAAAGAACCAGATAATCAATACTATTGACAGACATGTATGTTCATAACAACCTTCCAACCTTATCTTCCCCCTTTTGGTATCATCAAAAATACAAAACAATATTAGACATTAAGCACATATAGTGTAAGGTTTAAGGCCAAACAGGCTACAACACAAGCTTAAGAAATATCAAGGCAAATAGACTAGGGTGATGAGCCAATATAGTACAAAGCAGTAAAGCTGAGCAAAAAGAGACGTTAAGTAGTGCCAAAAGAAGCCCAGGGCCTTGTCTTCATCATTAGAACAAAATAAATTAAGCATACTATAAACTACTCAGACTAAGACAAAAAAAAAAGAAAAAAAAGAAAAGAAAGATAAGGCATCACTAGAATAGCAAAAGATCTAAGGACACTGGGAAGGAACAGGTTCATGAGTGAGAAGCAGAGGGGGTCAAAGCTTTCATAAGTGTGGAAATCTGTTGGATATGAGCCTCCCTATCTCTTCTAAGCTCTTCCCTGAGTTGCTTTGTTTCCTTTCTCAACTCATTATTGTCTTCACGAAGCTTGGCATTCTCTTCAACAACTAATTCCAACCTCTTGCTGAGTTCTGCAGCCCTACTGTTCCCAGGTAGAATAGCAAATCCTGTGGGTCCTCTATCCTTGACCTCCTCATACCTATACTGCTTGAGGGTAACAACATCCAAGACGTCATTGTGGTTTACAAACTTAAGCTCAGGTAAGGCAATGTTGAGCTTGTCAAACAACTCAGTCAACATGAAACTATAAGGCATATCATGCTTGGTTTTGGAGGTGTCTGCAGCTCTTGCCATGTGCTGAATCATCAGGCTATGAAGATTTATAGGTCTACCAGTGTCAAGAAGCTCCATCACATCCATGTCCAGCAGAGTAGCTTCATGCCTTCTCTCAGAGCTCTAAAGAATGCAGGAATTGACAAAATGAAATAATAATTTGTGGAAGGGAGTCATATCTGTCTTGTACACTTTCTGGGGAGTATCTAGTTCAAACTTTTGGGAGAACTTCCTTGTGACCACAATGTCAGTGTCAACATCATTGTCTATGGTTGGCCACTTTTTCTTCAAGTAATTGTCAAATCTGAAGGAGGGGATATTCAGAAGCATCCCCAACTCCTCAACATCAAAATCCATTTCAAAGCCCCCTACTTTACTCTTGACTAGCTTCCCATCAAAGTTAAAATTTGCATAGAACTCCACCATAGCAGGAACACATAATAGGGGGAAAGCTTTGACAAACATGTGCTTCCACCCCTGTAGCTCAAGTTTTTCATCTAGTTGAGCAACCCCTTCTGTGCTTGCAAGAATCTTCCCATTTAGTATTTTTCTGTTCTTGAACTCTATGAGTCGATCAACTGCAGCTGGCACATTCTTTCTTGTCTGGCTCTTGCAGAAGGGGCAACGGGTTTTGTAACTTTGGTACCCTTTCTCTTTGGTTTAGAAGACTTAGTGTCACGACCCAAAATCTCAACCTGTCGTGATGGCGCCTATCTCGATACTAGGCAAGCCGATAATCTCGATAAACTACAATTTCTTTTAAGTTTGAAAAATATATAATTTAATACTATACAAAATTCCACAATTACTGACACGAACACTTCCCAAAACCTGGTGTCACTGAGTACATGAGCATCTAATATGAATACAAGTCTGGAAAATACGGTCTATAATAGTCTGAGACCAAATACATTAAACAAGGAGATAGAAAAGGAGAGACAAGGTCTGCGGAACATGACAACTACCTCAGAATCTGCTGAAGATCAACTGCGCGAAATGATCAACACCCGCTATGTCCGGGAACACCTGGATCTGCACACGAAGTGCAGGGTGTAGTATGAGTACAACCAACTCAGCAAGTAACAATAATAACTAAGGAACTGAAGATAATGATGAGCTACACAGTTATAGTTCACTTTGAGTAATTCCAGCAAAGAATAGGCATGCTTTCAAATCCGGCAGTTTAAGTCAAATCAATTTTATACAGTTTAATTTCATATAATCCAGATATAAAATCTTTCAGAGATTTCACAATAATGACAGATAGCAATCAAGTGCAATAACAAGTGCAAAGCAAGTACAGCCTCTCAGGCAACAGTCACTCAACTCATCACAACAACTCAACCATTCGGCTCTCAGCCCTCAGCACCTAAACTCGGTGGGTACCTGTGCTCACTGGGGGTGTACAGACTCCGGAGGGGATCCTACAACCCAAGCACCATAATCTGCACGGACAACTCACGTGCTATAATATCCTGCACGGACAACTCACGTGCCATAATATCCTTACCTCGTCGACAGGCCCTCGTCCTTACTCAGTCCTCAATCTTTCTAGTCTCTCGGGCTCTTAGAAATCACAAAGATCAGCCCAA